CTTACAATTTTATCATGGCGCAGCTCTGTTGACTTGACCCAGGTGAGAACTGAACGTCTCCCAGGTTTTCGCAATGTAGATCATATTTCATCCAAGAATATGCTGCTGCGCACATAATCTAATTGTGGCCAACACGTTTTTCAAGAAAAGATTCGGACGAAAGTGGACGTGGAGAAGTCCAAATGGGAACACTCGCAATGAAATAGACCATGTTCTGTGCAAGAATCTGAAGTATGTTCGTGACGTTTCAACACTTTCTGGATGCAATATTGGGAGTGACCACCGCATGGTGCGAATTACTCTGGCGATGTGTATGAAGCCTGCCTATTTTAAGCAGAAGTCAAGACCATTACCTCCACTTTTTGACAAGCTTAAGCTGCAGGCTGCAATGGCAGCACAGCCTCGTCCGGCGGGCGGCTTCGACATCCCCAGCTTCGTGGAGGCAGCAAATAATTGTATGGCTTTAGCACAAATACCACAGCAACGAGTGGAACGAATCTCTGCTAGAACAATGGCGCTAATGGCAGAAAGAAGAAAGCAAAAGTTTGGATTCGCAAATGGATCAATAAGTTTTGTTATCTACTCATTGTTGTGCAAACAAGTTAGATGGTCACTTACCGACGATCTTCGCAAGTACAACGACCGTGTCATGCAAAATGCAATAGACAAATTGAAGATAAGGCGTGCTCGACACGAATTAACGTATGAACGTCGACAAATAAACCAACTCCGGTGTCCTGATGGTGCCCTGACGACAACTTTACAAGAAGCTGCGGCCATTACAGCTGCATTCTACAACGACCTCTACCGATCCCATAATGGTCCATACGTCTTCTCTGCGACAGGCCCGTTGAGACGCCCGGTAACAGCAGACGAACTCCGTGAAGCATGTAGCAGAATTCGTGGAAACACTGCACCTGGTGCCGACGGAATACCATCTGGAGTAACGAAGTATCTAGTACCTGTATGTGCGGAAGACCTTGCTAAAGAAATAAATCAACATTTCGAGCTTAACCAGTTCCCTGAAAATTTCGTCAAAGCCAAAACCATCCTCCTATACAAAAAAGGTGACCCATTGAACATCAGCAACTACAGACCAATCTCCCTATTGTCAACTGTCCTTAAAGTTCTTACCCGTGCGCTGGCTCGTCGTGTGGAAGAAGTGGTTATGGAGTTCGTTCCACAAGAACAAGCTGGATTCAGACGTAGCTTCTCCACCCGTGACCACATCATGTCCGTCAACTTACTAATTGAGAAATGTCGTGAATGGAGGAAACCGCTTCACATGGTCTTCATTGACTACCGAAAAGCTTTCGATACAATCGAGTACGAAGCAATTTGGAAAGCTTTGGATAAGTTCAAAGTAGATGACTGCACAGTTCGAATGATAAAACAGCTGTACGCTGCTGGACGATCGTTTTTGGCCCTGGACTCGATAGAGATGGAGATCAAAATTCAACGAGGCGTCAGACAAGGCGATTCGTTATCTCCTCTGTTGTTCATTTTGACTCTGCAATCGTGCCTTGATGACATTGACTGGGATGGCCAGGGTTACCCCATTGAGCAGTATCACCTCAGCTATCTCGCCTACGCTGACGATATTTTCCTGTGTTCGCCAACGGTCGATGGACTGCAAAGCATGCTCAATAAACTCATTGGTGCGACGAAAGTGGCCGGACTTGAAGTGAATACAAGCAAAACAAAGTGGATGTCCAGCAACCCTAATGGACAGCATCTCAGAGCCAACGGAGAAGAAATTGAGCTGGTATCTTCCTTCGTGTATTTGGGCCAACTCATATGTTTCCCTCAGGATCGTGGACAAGAAATCAGCCGGAGAATCAGCGCTGCGTGGAGCATCAACAGAAAAGTTCGAGCCCTATTGAAAAGCAGAATGACGCCACTGATGACCAAACGACGCTTCTTCCACACATGTGTGATACCAACTCTACTGTATGGATGTGAAACGTGGGCCCTAACCAAAGCAGCAGAGGATCGTATAAGAAAATGCCAACGACGGATGGAGCGCCAAATGTTAGACCTCCGACTTCGCGATAAGGTATCGAGCGTAGCAATACGAGCAAGGACCAAACTGAAAGACGCTGTCATCGAAGCCAGAAAGCGCAAGTGGATTTACGCAAATAAGTTAATGACAAGAGACAGGACGCGATGGGAAGTGCGGCTGATGAATTGGAAGCCCTGTGGAAGCAGATCAGTTGGACGACCACGAGTGCGGTGGGAAGACGATTTCAAGATGTTCGCGGGAGCAGACTGGCAGAACACGGTGACGACTTTTGAATGGTTCCAGATCATGGACCCGATTTCTCCTCGTTTTATGTAGATGCAATAAGCGGAAACTTAATGTAAAATGTTAAAATGTAGATCATATTTCAAGCTCTTATGTATTGGTCAGAGGAGTTCGGTATTCGATATCAGCGCAAGAGTCGTGATGCTAAAAGGGGGTTGTCGTGCTGCAATGGAAAGGTGAGGGTAGGAGCGTTTTAACAAGGTTCCAAAAATTAAGGCTTCCGCGAAAAAAAAAAAACTTCAAGGTTTTTTTTTTATTCCACAATCTTAGAAATATTCAAATCTGCCTTACGAGCTCTCTGAGCGTTTATTACAGCGGTGGAATCTATGATACATCTCTCATCAATGGATTCTAATAAATAGAAAATTTCAGTTGAAAATGATCTACTCGCGTCAGGATGAGTTTGTCAACAGCCTGATTCGACTCGCTTCGGTCAACACAACAGGTTTCTATTAGTTATTTATTTACGTTCAACACACACTACAATTTTCATCGATTTCCCGAGTCACATTGCTAACTTTCACACTCTTTGAACGTTAATCTCACAAAAACACGATCCAAAACTAGCTTACAGTAACAAAATGCGAAACGGCTGATACTAATTGAAACTGATTAAAATTGTTATCGCACACGAAGCGGTAGAAGGCGTCCACGCTGGCCTGGCTAAAAGTTCAAGCTAAGATTTGATTCCCAGACAATGTGTGTGGTATGCGACGCCCTTTGCCTTTGTCGCATCGTCAGAAAAAATAGCTGATTTCTTTTTCAGTTCGTCCGAAAATCTATATTATGATTTTTTTACTAGCTGTGTGTTTATAAATAGGTTGTTGAAGGGACCATGAAAATGAACACTGGTTTAGCTCATAACGCTCGGTCCTTAGAGACGCCGGATTTGTGTTTAATGGCATTTAGACTTAGTTCTGCAGCGCAAAGACTGCCGATTTGTCAAAAGTATGTTTTCTGGAATTACCATTTGTCATTGTCACTGCATAAGCCAAGCAGGAACCATCCGAGTCGTATAAGATGCTCTAGGCCTAAAACAGACACCCACTGGCCAGAAAAACTTATGCCGACCAAGTCATGTTTGAGAAAGAACGAGGAAGACAGAACGCAGAAAAAATTTGGGTACGAAAATTCTGAAAATTCTGGCGGTGAGAGACAAATTTAGGGCGAATCGATTGGGAACTGGTGGCTCAACAACATCTTCACAACATGTCCGATCAGCTGATTTGTGGCGTTCGAGAAATACTTCTTGACGAGCAATGAGGTTTGTTCTATTGTTACAATATATCAGCAGGCATTATAAATTAAAACCGATGACCATTCACTTACACTTTATAATAATTATCAGTTATTACCAAACGATAATTAATGTATGTCACCGCCGATGTTTATTGATTGAATCGCAAACTTTTGAAAATGTTCAGGAACTTGACGAAATAAAATTTTTGGGGTAATAAAGCAATAAAATGAATAATATGATTGAATAAGTGTGTGGCTAGCACGGCGATCATCATTTTGTATTTTGAGATAAGCCACGTATTCGCTTCGATTCCGAATCTTAGTGCCTTCAAATGCGTACATGCAATTATGAGTGTGAAACGCTTTCCTTGAGAAGGGTGGGACACTTCGGCTTTAGGTCCGCAACTTGGACCCCTTACCTTGCGTGTGGTAATGACATCACCTGACATTATGGTCTGTTGCCCATCCGCCGGGCAAACAGGGGTAGTTAGATCGAAGGGCAGATGTATGTGAGAGATGAAGTGAGCTTAATCGATGACCCGCACGATCAAAAATTTTGGTTAAAAATGGACTTTTGCCAAGTGAATCACATTGTGAGCGGGGCCTCGGCCGACCGAAGTAAGTAGTGAAGAAGGCGTGCCTTAAAGGCACAATACAGGATGAGCAGCTGGCTGATTCCTTTCGGTGGATAAGATAGAGCTGTTTGTGAAGTCGCAGATGTCCCGTTCTTCAGGCTCTGAAAAAGGTGCTTCTTCAGGCTTCCTAGCACTCTTGCACAACAAGGGTGCTAGGGATCTGCAGAGACCGCTTCAAGCGCTTCCATTTGCCTCGTCCGTGGCATGCTGGTGCCTGCACTCCCTCTCCCATTGTGCTTTCTCGCATATCCTCTATCCGCATATCTCGCATATTCCCTCCTTGTTGGACCCCCATCCTTAGCACAAGGCGAGCAAGCTCTAAATTTTAAGCGTTTTCAGCAGGATTCTTTTTTCTTTACTGCCGACCCACTTCGCTCGAATGCTTTCATTTCCGTGTGTCAAAACCACAGTCTTGATCCTGGGCTATGCTTTTTTTCAAACAAATGCGTGCTTATTTCGTATTTATCTCTCGGGTGTCGCTTTTATGAAGAAATTCTTTCCCTTTTCTGGAATAGAATTTAGGCTTTCAAGCTTTTTTGAATGGGTGTTTTTTCTAGCTCACCGTTATACTACTTTTTTCCTTGGGAAAGGAGCGATCACTGCCTGTTTCAGCCGGGACCTATAAAAAGGATTAATTCAGATCAACTGACAGGCATTATTTGTTTCTTTTTTAACAAGTTAACCCTAAAATGTACATCATTTGAACCGTTACCATTGTGTGTATACATATTACAAGACGAAGTATTGGGAAAAGTAAATGTCTATTGTTTCCAGGTGAAGAAAAACACTACGGCGGAGATCTGGTCTTTTTCCACGGCTATATTCTTCGCCGTCACCGTAGTAACAACCATAGGTTCGTTGAAATTTCATCATTCGAACTGTTGCAGATTGTGGGTAGAAAGCGTAAATATCGGAAAAACACTACGGGAAAACTTACCGGATTCAAAAAACATCTGGTTTTTTACACTTTTCTGAGCCGGGTGACATTTTGTTTCAACCGTATGGATTGAAAATGAATTTTCAATACTTGATACAAAAACTACTTCGCGTTTTAGTGAACCTCTCATTCCTTTTCGTATTGATCTCTTCCACTCATACACATGTATTTATTGAGCTCCTGGTTAACG